CATCCAATGACTTGTTTTGTTTTTGTTTTGTTTTTTTGCCTGTCCTGTTTGGTTCTTCAGCCGTCAGAATTGATGTCTGAAGGCCAACAAAGATACCCAATGGATTTACTTTACCAAGTGGATCATCACTTGCCGTATTGGTCCATTTGATCGACTTTTGTTGTTATTATTTATTTTATTTTATTTTATTTTCAGCTGTTACAAACAGGACAGACATACCTAGGGGATAGGAAAGGGAGAAAGAAAGATGAAGGAGAAGAAAAACAGGGGAAGAGAGACAGTGAGAAAGGTCACTTAAAAAGAAATGCAAATCTGTGCATTTTGACATGTAGACATGGTTAAGATGACCTGCTGAAGTTCTAAGTGAGCACCAGAGTGAAAAAGAAATGTGATTTAAGTGACGTTGAATGTGGGTTGGTTGGCACATGGACTCGGCTGACTATTATAGAAAATGCTGATGTATTGGGATTTTCCCACCTAAGCTTCCTTTCCCGTACAGCCAGGCTTACAGAGACAGTAACAGTAACAATCACCACTTGTTACAACCAAGATCTGCAGGACATGTTGAACGTTGAAGCAGATGGCTACAGCAGCAATATGTCATTCAATATGACATTGTAACTATGATTTGCAATCTCATATTGAAAAAGTGGAGTTGTTCCTTGCTTTACAAATGCAATGTTACCATATTTGTGTAAATTCTTCATTAGAGCTCCAGGATTATCTATTTGCTCTCAGGGATTTACTCAAAATCCAATAATCTAGACTTTTTTTCTCCAACAGTCACGATCTGTGTTTTTTTTCTTCTTCTTTGTTTTGTTTTGTTTCAGATGCGGAGATCCTTGCTGATGTTAATAAGTGGAAAACAGACTTGGCTCAATACTCGACTAAGTATGTGGGCCAAACCTTAGTCTACCTCAACGGGTCATTTGAAGAGTGCCGATTTCGGGAGTGTAACCTGGGAAACCTAATCTGTGATGCCATGGTAAAAGTTACAGGCATTTTTCACTTAGTTAACATGAGTTAAGTGTGAATTAGTGGTTATAAAAGGACTGCGTGAGTTTTAAGGAAGGTGATTGATCATAACAGATATTTATGATGATAAAAGGTGACGACAAACAGCCAGAAGCAAAGAGAATTTCTCTGTCATATAATACGTCTCTTTTGCATTTACAGGTGTATCACAATATGAGGCATTCAACTGGGGAGCAGTGGAATCATGTAAGCTTGTGTATGCTGAATAGTGGGGGCATACGGACAGCGATAGACGAACGCTACAGAAATGGTAGATTTTTTTTTTCCTTTGTGCAGAATTGCCGAGTTCTTAATTCACCTTGAAGTGTTTTGTAATCTGCTGTTATTTACCTTTATATGTTGTCCTTTTAGGTTCCATAACAATGGAGGAGATCCTCACCGTGTTACCATTTGGAGGAACCTGTGACTTGGTCCAAATAAAAGGCTCAACAATAAAAAAGGCATTTGAACACTCCGTTCACAGATATGGAAGAAAGACTGGAGAATTTCTTCAGGTCTCAGGTCTGTGCTCCTCTGCTAACACAGAATAGTTTAATAATCTTTTATAACAAAGGGTTAGAAGTACATTTCTAACATGTGCTTACAAAAGTTGCACTGAAAGCATTGCTCAGCTGCAGGTGTGCCTAGTTTTGTAACAGGACATTAAATAGCATGTTATATGAATCAGTTCCTAAAGTAACCGTAATGCACATGTGTATTTAGTGCAGTGTGAAAACAATAATCAGTGGCTTTATGAGGTAGTTGAGGTAGTGTTTGTTGTCTCATCTTAGTAGACAACCCGCTGTCTCCAGCCTTACACTAAACATAAAATGCTGTTGATGTTCTCCCAAAAGTATTTTAATTTGTGTTTTACTAATTCTAAGTAAACAGGACTGTGGCGGGGTGTGGTTCGTGGTGCGGCTGCGGGGTGAGGCTGAGCTCAGTCAGCTCATCACGCCTCCCCTGCATGAAAGAAGAATGAACTGGGTCCTGACGTTGTTGTTGTTGTTGTTGTTTTGTACATGTGGCTGGAAAGCTGCAGCCGAGAGTTGTAGAGAACAACAAGTGGTAAAAAAGAGAGTGAAACGTGTGAAGAATGTGGTCGAGTTTGTCATTGCATCGCATGCCACAAGGACACACTAGACTCTTTATATAAATGTAAACACTATGCCATTTTTCCCTTAAATTTCCAGGCATTCATGTGAAGTACGACCTCTCCAAGCCAGTGAACCAGCGTGTAGCATCGCTGTCATTGCTCTGCACAGAGTGCCGCGTGCCCAAGTATGAACCATTAGACCCACAGAAGACATACACCGTGGTCATGCCTTCATACATGGTGGGTGGAGGCGATAACTTTACAATGATTAAGAGGGAGTTACTGAAACATAATTCAGGTGGGTGGCAGACTCTTGTTCTAAATTTATAAGCAGTTTACCTCAGGCACTTAAAAGGACCTTTACTGCATCCAGCACCAGCATCCTCTTAGTCAAAAATCACACTGACCTCATTAAAAAATGACATTTTCAATTCAAAAGGTCAAAGGTCAACCTCACACTAACATCCCTAACATCATAATCAACTCGTAGCAAAGTACCTGGCAGCTGTGAGATCCCTCTACAGTTCCCCTTTCCTTGTTTTGCATAAAGCACAAGTTTTTCTATTTTGGAAAATGAATTACATCTTTTTGTCACGAAACCTTCGTTACTCATCTTGGTTACCGGATACACGTCTTTGGCAAATCGAATGCAAACGTGTTAGTTTCAGTGCACCTTTGTGAGCTGGATGGATACGCTTACACGCCCTATGGGCTCGCTTTAATGTTCGATGTTGGAAAAGTCACGTTAGCAACTGTTCTGTTGTTTTTCCCTCGCCTTTGTGCATCCATCAAACTGCAGATAATGGTATTTCCACGCAATTGACATAACCGCACTCTTTGCATACATTTTGTTCTTATCGTGAAGCCAAAGTATTTTGGAAAAAAAACACAATCAAAGGATATCTGCATATCTTTATTTTAACATAGTTGTTGTTTCTTTGCATTGCATTGGAGGAGCGTGCATTTTAAATATCACTTTTGTGTAACTGTGGGAAGCAAAGATTGCAATTGAGTTTAAAACTGATGCACGAATAATGATTATTTGTGCATATTTGTGCATCACATTTGTTTTGAGACTATCACTTGTGATACTAAATTTGGGTACTGATATTTTATATCCTCTTCGCTGCCAGACTGAATACTTGTGTGTTTGAAGCATCCAAGTTTAGACTTCTTCTTTGAAGGTGTTTCTGCTGCTGTGGTCCACTCCATACTTACACTCCCTTTAGAAATACATATAATCTAAATATATAAATAGAACAAAAGAGCTCATTTAGCAATCACTCCAAGACTTGGCAGACTGTTATAAAGGTTTGCAAACTTTAATGTTTCATAGTCATTTGTCCCTTGCTTTTTTTCTCCCTGGTGGAATGCAACCTGAGTCATGACCATTAATGTTTTTTTTAAATAAAACATCACAGGAAGGAGCTAGACAGTGCTTTTCATGAATTAACTGGATTGTCTAAAGTGAAATTCTAACATCCTGTCCATGTTAAAATGGATGAATTCATCTGATAATGCCTAAAGTGAGAAACATTTTACGAGCGGACACTGAGAATTAACTGTGGCGCACTTGTCTGTGAAACGCATGGAAATGGGGAAAAACAACATATGGACCACACATGGAAACACAGCCATATAACATCTGCTCTCAAGAGTTTATTCTGTGACTCAAAGTCCTGCAGTTGTTTTTAAACTTGACAACACACGTTGCAGTAAAATATCTCTGTAGTGGTATAGTGGAAAAGTTTTTGTTATCCTCAAGGCCGCACTAAAGAAGAAAAGAATAGCAGGATGTGGCTTGTGACATTTTCATTTCCAGCATTTCTTTAAGGGTTTTTGGCACTCTGGCACAGTTTATCGAAATGCTGAAACAACCATTGGACAGTTTTGCCGTAGCGCTTTGTATTAACACTTATGATTCTAAGCCTGAAAAGCTGATGATCTGCTGAGGGACATAGAAATCCATTGTTTTTGAGGATGGTTGAAGAACTCATATTAACTGTGGCAAACTTTCACACAGAGGTTGGATTTTTTTTTGTTTTGTTTTTTAACTTTTTTCCCCACCCATTATTCAGAGACAGAAATGAACAATAAATCAAAGCCCGCTGTACCTGTAAACTCTTTAGTTCTCGATCTTTACTCTTGGGATTCTCTCCAGCAGGGATGTTTAAATCGTTTAAATATGTTTCTGCAGTTTTCTTTAAATTTTACAAAAATCGCTCTTGAAATCGAGAATCGAGCATCATGAAGATGTTATTTATGTATTTTAATGATGTAATATTGATTCATTTAATGCCACTTTGAGATTTAAAAAAAAAAAAAATTTGCCTTTTCTTGCAGGTGACTTGGACATTACCGTTTTTTCCAAGTACATCTCCGACATGAAGCGCGTGTTCCCTGCAGTAGAAGGCCGCATCACTTTCAGGAACTCTGCTGTCATTGCTTCATACAGTATTGGCTTGTTGCTGCTGAGTCTGTGTCTGTCTGTGACACTTTGATTGGCTTTTTACACTCTGGTAAACTGTGATAAATTGAAAAGCTCCAGGACTTGGTTAACTGTCTTTTCAGCTCGCTGCCCTCAAAGCTAACTAGAAGACAACAGGATTACAGGTTCAGCCTCGGGGTAGCCAGCATCCAGGTTGAAACTTATTATAACCCACAACGATTCAGCAACCCCCCAAAAAAGCATGAGCGACAGTCTTGTTTACTCAAACCGACACACAAATGTACCAAAAGAAACAACCTAAATATAAAAAGCAAAGTTATATTGATTGATGGAGCTTACTGATTGAAAGACGAGGGAGTGTATGAAGCTTGGTCAATTTTCTGAATGAGATTATTTTACAAAATAACAGTGGATAGTAAAAAGCACACAAAGCAACAACTATTCCAAATGATTTTCTTTAATTACCATTATTCAAATGCCTGAAAAACTGTGGTCAGGCAGAATGCACGTCATCTTTAAAAAGAATGATGTTTTCATCGGGTTACAAACATGAATGCATTACTGTGTAGAAACTGTGAGGACTTGTAAACAAGCCAGTTATTTGTTGTCATGAGGACCTGTTTGATCTGCATATATGCAAAGCTGAAAGATTCATCTGCACTGAGTTCGTGAATTTGTCAGTACATCTAAAATTCATATTTACAAAAGTGCTTTTAAAATTCTAAGGATTTTTTTCCTACTTTTATTTTTACACATTGAAAATACCAAAAGAAAATCTATTATTCATTGTGCATTCTGTTCATCTTGTAGTCATTCCAACATAAACTTAACTTTAGTGGGCAAATGATTGTGCTCTTTAATGAAATATTAGTATAGTGATATGTATTTGCTTGCTATGATTACTCCTTTATTAGCAGTCAGCTATTAAGCTTGTAATATTTTACATTTCTCTCAATCAAATGCCATCTTCAAACTGACTGATTAGACATAAACCCAGCCTCAGGTTAGTGCATTCCTAGTGTTCTTCTTAAGCCCAGATAAATGAGCTGGGCTACATCAGGATGGGTATCCCATCTAAAAACTGTGCCAATTTAAATCCACTGTTTGGACCACTTGGAAAATGCAGCTGACAGTGCCTTTGCCTTCCCTCCTTATTCCTTTCCACAAGTCTTGTCTCCCTATTCCTCCTGTCTGTCCTTTGTGATTATCTGCCCACCCCGGTGCCTGCTTATCCCCTATCTGTTGGTCTGCTGCTCATTATTCATACTTCTGGTTTCCCTCAAGTGTAGGTTTTGGATTTTGTGTACTATGGATTTTTCCTTAGCCCAATAAAGGCTTTCCTTTTGCTGTTTATTTCCCTGCCTTGGTCATTTGTGTCCTCTCCACCTCCACCACACCTGACAAAACTGTTAAATCACTGTCTTTTACTGTTAGCTTCTACTGCTAATAATAATACAAAGAAGAAATTGTCAGTTAAATTCTGACTTTTTATTTAGTATATACTTCATGTATGTATTTATTTTACAAATTAATGACAGATGCACCAGGAGAAACCATCTGCCTTTCCTCCTGTTGTGGGAGCAGGTATCCAGATACAGTTACTGTACATGTCAGTTATGAAGGTCTATGCGTTGGATTTAGTCTAGTGTCAGATGAGCTCGGGTATGCCAAGCATGTTGGCTCATGTTTATTTTACATCCATGGAGCCATCACAGACGTCTCCTTCTGCACCTGCTGAGAACACAAGAATGCAGGGTTAACTCAGAAGCAGATGTGTGTTGCTGTGGTTTGGTGTTTGATTTAAAGACAATGTGAAAAAGCTTTGATTGTGTACAATCACATTTCCATAAAGTTGGGACACTGGGAAGAATAAAAATGGAATGCAGTCACATAAAGCACACCTAATTAAATATAGAAAAACAATTTTAAAAAAAATAAGTGTTTATTATGGCTTCTTCTTTGCCTGATAACATGTGATTTCTGGAAGTGTTCCTGAGCACATGCTGTGATTTGCATGACAGATTCTTTCCTGTTTTTAAAGCATTGCCACCTGAGGGTCCAAAGATGCTATATTGATTTTCAGCATTGTCCCTTGCACACAGAGATTTTTCCCAATTCCCTGATCTGTTGATGATATTATGTACTGTAGATGATGAGATGTTTAAACCCTTCAAAGTTTTATATTGAGGAACATGATTCTGATATTATTCAACAATTTGTAGGGGCAGTGTTTTGCAGACTGGTGAAATTCCGTCTTCTAAATGCTCTTTTTATGCCCAATGGTCTTGCCAAATAACCTCATTAGTTGCTAAATTTTCCTCCAGCTGTTCCTTTCTAGTACCTCTTACGTTTCAAGCCTTTTGTTGCCCTCTAACCTCTGCTCTAACCTAAATGCATCCAATTAAACCATTTGATATATATATATATTCAAAAGCAGAAGAACAGAAATAAATCCAGATATGGGGATAGGGGTAAAACAAATTCAACATCAGAATTATGCTCATAATTTTTGAGATTTTGGTGCGACAGCTAATCTTCACTCCAATTGCAGAAGCATTACTGTACGACTATCCAGGTAAAGGACTTTGGCATACTTATTAACGAGTGATATGTGTGTATTTCTCTACTAAAAATGCAGTTATATAATCTTATATTCATTTAACATTGAACATCATCATGCAGTCTCATTCATTCACTTATGCAACGATTAACAATGATATTGCTGATAGTTATTGACTGCATGTTTTTTCATTTTTCTGTTTATTTTTTGGTATTTGGGATTTTTTGGGTGTCAGGATATATTCACTCTCCATTCTGCGGAGGATAAGAGCCTATAGATGGGTGGGTGAACAAAAATGAATATGTGTTTACCTTGTTTAGCTCTGGAAAAAGTTCCTGAATGACGATGTCCAGCAGCACATATGTCAGCTGAGGAAGGCAAAGCAAAAAAGGTAGGGACAAGATGAGAAGCATTAAGGTCAGTCGTGTTTAAATAAAGATGGAAACACGACCAATATGCAGAACGGCAGAGGAAACTGTGTTTCAGCAAACTGCATGTTACATTGCGTACCTATTATAAGGTGCGAATGTTACATTCAGAGGTACCCCAAGTCAATTTCATTCATATACCCATCTGTCATATACTAGCACAGCTTTTTTTTCATGTCCTATCACGTTTCCTATCAGCGAAGTGCAAACATTCTGAGAAAGCACCGAGTGTGTCCTCGCTGTTTGCGCGTGTCTGTCCTTGTACCTGTTTGTTGAGCACTGGCTGCTGTAGTCCATCAAAGAGGAGACGCACTCCTTCATACTTGGCCTCTTCTCCGATACATTTCCCCAGAAAGTCTGAAGATAAATCAAGGACAAGCCCCCAGGCGGCAATTTAAAACTCACCACTTGTCTTGTAGGTTTAGATGCCGACTACAAGTGGTCCATAAATTACAAAAGGCGACTTGGAAGAACTAAATAAATACCTGGAATATAGCTCATCATCTCCTCGAACGTCTTCTTTGCTCTCCTCTGCTTGTCTTGGGCGGGGCGAGGCGGGCTGCTTTCACAGAAAACTGAGTCTATGAGGGCAAAGATTCACTGCATGATTTCACCTCTGTTAGATTGTATTGTTTATTGTCATTTATGCTTAGAAATATTTAACCATATATGCTTAGAGGTGTATAATCGATTGTGTAGTGATAGGATGTGTGATCCTTAATAGTCTGCAAAGGCTTTGTGTGCATTCCAGAGTGTTCTGGCATTCACACCCACATTCTGGGAGCATGGGAGAGGGCATACCTTCTCTTATTGTTTTATGGCAGGATAAACGTATCTATATCTGTTTTAGTCTACGTGCCTTTTGTTTAGATGAACTGCTGGACTTCCAGACCAGCCGGTTTAGGGAAGTCATTTATGGGGTCACACTCTGACCCCACACACACACACACACACCACACAGGCAAGGTACTCTTTGTTTGTATGTAGACGTCATATGTTAATGAACTTATGTATATTCATGTAACCTCAATAAAAGAGCAGTGTTACGGGAGAGCGGACGAGAGCAACTGGGGTCAAGCGAAGGAACGGCGTTTGTCCGGTTCTCTCCCGTGCACGAGAAACATGAAGAACTTTGCCTACTCGTGTCTTGCTTTGCTGTGTAGTTATATTGTCTTCAACGTTCCAGCGAATAGGTTTAAGCTACAAACCTATCAACCTCACTTAGTTTGTTTGTTTAAAGTTCGAGATTCTCACAAACACGCAGACTCTCTTCGGTTCCTTGGCCGTGTACCTCTAAGCAGGGTGATGAGCGAGACTAGCCGGTGCTCCTGGACCACTTGGTTGAGTTTGTACTGAAGATAATAATCTGTGTAGGCCTCCAGTGTGTTCTTGAACAGGATCCTGCCACCCATTAGCAGGTGGTGCAACCAATCAGGGACACGAAAGACGACTCTGCCTAAAAATCAAGAAGAAGAGAGAGAGCACTGATCACCTACATGACCTATCTTTTTAATATACACCAGTCAGGTACAGCATTATGACCATCTGTCTGATATTGTGTTGCTCGCAGCCCTCAAACAATCAAAGCATAGACGCTCGTACCAACAAGTCCTATAAGCTGCGAGGTGAAGCCTCCATGGACTGGAGCACATCCCACAGATGCTCAACTGGACTTACATCTGGGGAATTTAGAGGCCAATTCATCACCTCAAACTTCCTGTTGTGCTTCTCAAATCATTCCTATACATTTTTCACAGCCGTCAGGGAATACAGTTTCCACACATGTCAAAGTAATATCCACAGCAATGGCAGGACCCAAGGTCTCTCAGCAGAACACTGCCCAAAGCACCACACTGCTTCTGCGAGTTTATACTTGCCTTCTTGCCATAGTGCATCCTGGTGTCCGGTGTTCCCCAGAGAAGCTTCACACATACACGTGATGTGACAGAAAATGTAATTCGTCAGACCACGCCGTCTTCTTCTTACTCCATGGTCCAGTTCTGATCCTCACATGCCCATTGTTGGCACTTTCAGCACTGTACAGGGGTCATCATGGGCTCCCTGACTGGTCTGCAGCTATGCAGATGCATACACAACAAACTGCAAATACTCTGCGTGTTCTTACACGTTTCTGTCACAACCAGCAGTAACTGTTTCTGCAATTCCAGCTACAGTAGTTCATCTTCGCTCCCCATCAATGAGCCAATGAGCCATGACCCTGTTGCTGACTCACCACTGTTCCTTCCTTCACTGCTTTTGATAAGTATTGACCGATTCAGACCAGGAACACACCACGAGCTGCAGTTTTGGAGATGCTCCGACCCAGCTGTCTAGCCATCACATTCTGGCCCTTGTCAAACTTTCTCAAATCCTTACGCTTGCCCATTTTTCCTGCTTCTAACACATCGACTTCCAGGACAAAATGTTCACTCACTGTAATTGACGTCACCTGTCAGTGGTCATCGTTATGCCCTATCAGCGTAAACTGTGTGTTTTACAATCTCTCTTTCCTCATCCCCTATTTGCCGACCTTATGGTTTCTCATTTGGTGTAAACTTAACACTGTGGACATTTTTCAATTATTTGGCCTAATATTTCTTTTTTAGCAGCATGCACTTTCAGCCATATGTTTCATGGTTCTAGCGTCTGTCAGCTACACAGACCAAGACGGATGAAAGAATAAGACAAGCGGTGGAAATGGGCTTCCTCTGAAGGAAGCGAGGAGAGATAAGAAGAGGAGCTCAGTCATTCAAGAGGGAGTCAGAGTAGAGACGCTGCTTCTCTGCATCAAATGGAAGTAGTTGAGGTGGATATTGTGTCTCTCAGCTGGTTTGGAAATGTCCCTGTGCCTTCAGGGAGACGCCGAGAGAGGGTATCTCTGCTGTGGCACAACCCAGAAGTGGTTTCACAGCAGATCCACAAATGGCACATGTGGAGTATTTCACTTTAGTATTTTACCTTGCAAAACAAGTCCTTTCTGAAACACTTTCCAACAACATTTCAACCCGGTACAAATCTATCCACATTCTATGTTTAAGCCTGGAAAGGAAACATCATAAATTGTGTCTGCAGAACAGACTGCAAAAAAAACAACCAAACCTCTACTTACCAACATACATCAAGTAGTCATAGACCCCTTCAATGGTGATCATTTCCATGAAGTAGTTCTGATTGTGTCTCTTCTCTGTCATCTCTGATCGGTTGGCATTGTTTTTGAAGAGGTCATTGAAGAGCTGGGGGTGAGACACTTGCGTCAGATTTTAAGACTGAAGCTCTTTCAAACACCCACTGTCTCTATCTGAGAGCATTTCCAGTTATGAGTGACTCACAAAACTCTGGCAAAGTAAATATGTAACGTCCCTATTCTTTTAGGAATATATTCAGATTTTATGTTAAGTTAAGTGGACGTGTTTGTTTAAGCACCACTTGCAAAAAGCTGTTATGATCTCATCAGTTCAGCCACTGGCAAGTTCTCAGATTAAATGCCCGAGGCCTTTCTTGGCAATGTCAGACCTCATTTAAATTTTGTGAAGTGCCACTTCACAAAATTTGTTGCAAAAATAGCGCATGTGCTGATGTTTTATTCTATTGTGTCTGTAATACTAGAATCACCATTGGCTGATTTTAATCCCATTAAACTTCCTTTTAATTCAAGTCAGAGGAATCTAATAAACACTAGAGGAAACAAAATATCAGCATAAACAGTTCCATCAATAGTCGATACAAATCACTGTCTTTGCTTTAAAAGCTTTATTTAGGGGATTATTTAATCCCCTGCTCAATTTGTAAGTTTGCTCACAGAGAGAATATCAGACCAATAAATAACTTCGTACTTCGTAGAAACCCTTGTTGGCAAGTACAGGGGTAAGAAGTTGCTTGTAGTTGGCACCAGGTTTGCACACATCTCAGGAGGGACTTTGGCCCACTCATCTTTACAGAAATTCTAAATCCTTCACTTTTATTGGCTGCTGCTTGGCAACTCAAAGCTTCAGCTCCCTCTATGGATTTTCTATAAGACTAAAGTCTACAGACCAGCTAAGCCACTCCATGACCCTAATGTGCTTCTTCTTTAGCCACTCTTTTGCCGCCTTGATGGTATGTCTTGGGTCACTGTGTTGCTAGAAGATGACGACGACCCATCTTCAGTGTTCAGGTTGCGGGAAGCAGGTTCTTGTCCAAGCGTGGCCACGTTCATTGGACTCTCAGTGCGGTGAAGACATCCTGTACCCTTAGCAGGAAAACAGCCCCAAAGTATAATGTTTACACTCCATGCTTGACTGTGGGGAATATGGTGGAGGCTTTAGGTCACACTCAGCGTTTCTCTTCCTCCAAACACAGCAGTTTAAGTTGATGCCAAAGAGCTTGATTTTGGTTTCATCTTCCAACAGCACTTTCTCCCGACACTCTTCTGAATCATTTTAATGTTCACTGGAAACTTAAGACAGGCTTGTAACTTCTTGAGTGGGGGGACCTTGCAAGAACTACAAGATTTCAATCCATTACGGCGTAGTGTGTTACCAATGTTGTTTTTGTTGACTGTGGTCCCTACTGCCTTCACTAACAAGCTCCTCCCATGTAGGTTGGGACTGATCTACCATCACTCTCATGATCCTCACATCATGAGGCAAGATCTTTCATGGAGCTCCAGACCGAGGGTGATTGATGGTCTTTTTATTTTTATTCTGAACAATCGCACCGGCAGTTGCCACTTCCTTCCACCAAGCTTCCTGCTGATGGTCTTGTAGCTCATTTCAGCCTTATGCAAGTTGACAATCTTGTCCTTGACATCCTTTGACAGCCTTTTTATGTCTTGCCCATTGTGATGGAAATCCATTCGGTTGGCATTTGTGCTTTATATACATAAGTTGAGATCAGAAGTCTCGACCATTGATTTTAATCTGTGTGCCACAAGAGCAGGCAGCCAATCTCTGGGAGGCAAAATTCTGTTTAGGTTGTAGGGGATCAAATACTTTCTCCACTCAACGACATGCAAATCAGTTCATAACTGTTATGCAATATGTTTTTTTCTGGATTTTTGATCAATTTTCTGTCTTGCTCCATTAAAAAGAAATTACCATAATAATTAGAGACTGATTTGTTTCTTTGTAAGTGAGCAAACTCACCAATTCAGCAGAGGCTCTAATAATCTAATTATTTCCCCACTGTATATCTGTAAAGCTCAGCTGCCTTGTGGACTTTTGACCAGACAGTTGTAACAGGAACAATTAATTGCAACTGAGCCTTAGGGAGGACTCTAGCAGTACTCAGGATTCTCCTCAGGCTACTCTTTTAAACAATGCAGACAGTCAAAAAGCTATAAAGCCTCACTTGCCAACCTTTTTGTCATTCTCTGAGGTGGGACTCAGGATAGTGAGCTCAGGTCGGCTGGGTTTGGGTTTGGGAGATTCACAGGAATTGAAGAAGGACTGGATGAAAGGTTCCAGGTGCTGCCCTTTCTGCCATAAAAAAAAGCACACGTGCAAAATGTATATTGGGTAGTTTCAAAAACACAAAGCTGACATTTAAAAACATCTGTATTGTGAAAGATGAGACACAAAGCACATCCTACATATTGTGTCCCAGAATAAATGCATTTCTCACCTCTTTTATCAGTTTGCTCGGGACCGACTTAATGATTTTCCCTGTGAAAAATAAAAAACCTTATCTCAGTGATGTATGCTTCTGTCACGTTGTGCCTCTTTTCCAGACACATCTCTTCTCATCCAACCCAAGGTCAGCCTGATCAAACATTTCCACAGGCTGTTTAAACATCATCTATTTTGCACATTTGTTTAAACAAAGCGTCTGTCACATTCTCTGCAGCCAGGTCAGAGAGAATGTGCCTCATACTGTACCGAGGTTCACGTCAGGTAACATCTTGTCCAGGAACTGAGACTCCATGCTATGAGGAGACAGGAAGTCGGCCAGTAGCTGGCTGTTGCTCAGCTCTGGGTGCTGCAGGAGTTTCTGCAAAGTAAACAGATAATGAAAACACACATTTGTTCTGTAGCTGAAAATCAATCACAGGACTGCAGATTTATTGTGTATGATCAAATGTAAGCAGATACAAGTGCTTTACTCGTTTTTAGAACAAAGCAGACTGTGGATTTTCAAGGGCTTTATGTGGGTTTTTCTGCTTATAAAGCCTCCCAACCAAGTTTGGATTAGTGCTTACTACTTTCCACAGAACATTGCAACTTTTTAAATTAATTCCCAAGCTTTCAAAGCAGCCTCTTGGTGTGCCTTGAAAAAACTTATTTCAAGGTAAGTAATCCATCACAGTGAAAACTTTTACTGCTTTTTCTGTTGTCTCTTGTGATTCTGTACTGATGGTCCTCCAGGTGGGGACCATTTAAAAATCTTTCCTTGCCGAGTTTTGTCATTTTTCTCTATAAATGTTCAACAGTTAAGACTCAAATTTTATTCCTTGAAGTGTTTAAGGACCTTGGCAGCAACTGCAGAGACTGAATTGTGTTTTATTCAGTTTTTTCCTCTGTGTTTTTGAAAAGCTGCTCTTAGAATCACCAAATGAAGCAACGACAAAGATATTTTTCTCTCTTTACAAGAAGTGACTCAACCACTGACTAAGACTGATTAAGATGACTTTAAATGTTTCTTTTTTTCTGAAACCTAATTTGAAGTATTCCTGATAAACACATACGCACAGAAAACTACACCCAAAAACCTTTCAACAATGTGTGTGTGTGTGCGTACGTATTTCAAGCTAATTTGTTCGTAACCTTCTCACCAACCGCCTCCCCTCAAAGTCATTTTCTTAGTTTTTATTATTTAGTTATTTGAAGACGTTTTCACAGTACAAACCATGATTCAGCAACTTTTAGAATCACCTCTAGCAGCAATAAGTTGAAGTAAACATTTTCTGTATTTTTTTTTATTTATTTGAGGTTCGTTTTAAAATTACACTTGATGCCCCCAGGTTATATTCATCAATTTTACTATAATATATTTACTCCAAACATCTTATATTAGGAGAATATTCTTTTAATTAATACTAGAAAGTCATCAGGTTCCAATATATATTTTGCAGAAAATGCATAAACTAAATGCATAGTGCTAAATGTCAGGTTTTGCTATTAAAATTAACAATAGGATGCACATTTTTGTATATTATGTTTATGATTATTAGGGTTGGGTACATGTAGACATAAATATATACATACACTACAATCATCATAGTACGATTATATAAAGAAATTATATAGCAAAATGTTAAAAGTGTAGCTACACAGTAATTACTTAAAGCATGAAACTTTTAAAAGTGATTATTGTAGCTGATCAAAACCTGTTATATTGCCTAGGTACAGTATATATTACACCTATCTAAATGCTACCTCATTAAAAAAGCATTTGCATTTCAACATCAGAGATGGTCACACTTGCATGATCCTTTCATCAAGTGCATTTGATTGGACTATTATTAGCATCATAATTTCTATGGAAGCAGTAAGGCTGTACTCAATGTTTCACAGCACTTCATGGAGTCCTTTGAAAACTTTCTTTTTCACATGACTGAGTATCGTGCCTAGTGCAATTCAGAAGAAAAGGCCAAGAGAAGCGCAGATATCTACCTGAAGATATTCCTGAAATTCCTCCCTCTTCGATGTCAGAAATTCGTAATTCTTGGGACCAATTATTCTCTTTGAGGGCAGCTGCGCATCTGGAAATGAGCCTGCAAATGGTGTAAGATTTCACAAAGACGAGTGTTAAAAATATGTGTCTCTCTTTAACTGGAACATAACAGCCGTGTAGTTTCCAAGTCCCCAAATAAGGCAACAGGGCCATTAAATGTTCTTCGCTTCTAAAATGTAAGTTTACTTGGAAGTAATAATCTGGGATTTTTCTGTGGAGTCGACGACGTCATTTTCATGGGAAAATTCCTTCCTGATGGCCTTGAATGAAAAACAGAGCAGTGCACAGGTGCTCTAAATTAGCATTATGTAGAAAACCTACCATGAAACTCGGTGAGCTTTGACTCTAGGACATAGAACTCCAAATATCTCCTGTACACAGACCAGTGCTCAGTCTCATGTCCGACTGCAGAGAGTAAAACAACAAGGTTTAATTAATGACCCCAAACCAAAACAGCTCGTCACACTAGTTAATGGTTACCTAATAGTATTACAGATTATTTACAAGTACGTTTTAATGAAGGTCCGCACAGCCTCACCTGCCTTCCGGTCATTGCGCTCTACATCAATACAAAACACTGGAATGCGCTCCCTCTTTATGTCGTCATCGTAGAAATCAATGTACGGGATTGTGATGTTCCAGGCTGAGAGGTTTCGCGGGGTGCTCGGGGTGGAGGCCGCCTCCATAGGGGGGTCATCTTCCAGCACCATCATGGCTTCCTCCACCTTGAATAGAAGGAAGTGAGAGTGGTTGAGGTCAAGGCTTTGCAGAGTACACGATAGATGAACAACACGACCACTTTTATGCTGCAAAACACACAAAGGTAGAGGCCTGACTTTAATTTCTTGGACTTCTTTTGTTCTTTGTGTATGGGTTCTTTTTACCTTAACCATATAATCTACTCCTATCAAAATTACTATTAAATTGAACAGCAAATGTGAAGATCAGGGACAACTAAACAAAAAAAAGGTGACTGAGACCTGACCACAAGTAAGGGAAGTGCAACGTATACACAGGATATCCCTTTACAATAAATGCCGAACAAGGAATTAACAGAGTGAAGACAGTAAAGTGCTGTAACAGACTGTGTTTGAAGTCACATCAATATAAATTTACAAAAGCTCTTAAACTAGCGGATTTTCATTCATCTGACACTCTTTTTTTTTTAATTTCTTTCATTTAAGGTGGATATTTAGTCATTTTCGCAGGTCATCTTTGTGGTTTCACAGGGAAACTCTTGCTCTTTAAAGTCAACACTATCTACTGTAAAACAGGCAAATTCATGGACTCCACCTCAGAAAACGCCAGAACCCAAACGTTGGATTTAAATATTGGAAAAATAGACAGATATTTTATTATGCCTGAAGAAATCAGCAAAAAACACGCTTTGTCAAACTCGGCAGAGTCTGCAAATTGCACTGAAAACCTTGAAGATTTGTCCATAAGGTAGAATTAATAGACTCTGTGGCTTTGTTTTCTTTACTCACCAGCGCCCCCATGTGGGAATCACTTCAGGAGACCCTCAATATGACTTGAAGACTCTGTTTGCAGTTACTTCTAATAAATTTGACACGCTGCTTTAAATTTGACATGCAGTTTAACCCTAAAAAGCAACTATCACCACGTGAGCATTATTTTATACACTATCATCATCTTATAATGAATGTTTAGGACACTTTTAGATGTGCCTTACCATATCATCCTCCCCCTCTACCAGCCCATAGGATGGCAGCATGGCTCCTTCCATCGTTGTGCTCTTGAACACTCCTTTGATCTTACTGCCAATGCGGCTAATCCCAAAGGACTCGCCCCTCTTAGACGTACTCCTGCAGTTCAAACAAGGAGGCTATTAAACACGGAGCAAAGGAGGAGATGCGCTTGGCTTCAGCAAAGCGCATGCAGCTTCAGAAAGGTGACAGAGCAGGGACTGTAGGGAAGAAGAAGCAGCTTACTCTGTATCATGGGAGGTAAAAGCTAATCTAGCCAAACCAATGAGAACGTTTAACTTCACAGTCAACAATAATCAACACAATAAAATGCCTGCGTTACTGGTAAAGCGCTGCAGAGCCACAAAAAACACACACACACACACACAACAAAGCACTGAGCAGTGATGAACAGATGTGAAGCTTGGAGGGGATATTTTCAGGGTGTAAAAAATGCTGATGATGATCAGTTACCTGACAACCGATAAAAAGCACACAACATCACAGTTGCTCTGTGTGAGTGCCGGTTTGCTCACGTAAAATAAAAATCACCACATGACGCACAGAGATACGCCTACTACACAAGAAGCCGAGCACAGAAAAAGTGGCTGCGGTGTCAAAAACAAGACTGGAGGAAACAAAACGACAAATTAAAACAGGATCCCGTGCATAGACCCCACCATGCAGGCGTCCGGCTGGGACTGGGGTCACATGGGTGTGAAACTGGATAGCATGACATCACACTGAGCGACCTGTGACAGACAGATGGACCCTGACTTACTTGGGTGATGAGTGGCGGTGGGATAGCGAGCCATATGGGAAGTTTGTGAACGTGGACTGGGCATGGAGGGAGTTACAAGATGCAGGTGAAGAGCTGCCAGAGGCGGTGAACAGTGAGGACGGGGACTCGGGGCTCCAGTCCCAGGAGCTATAAGCAGAACAGGGTCACATCCCCACGGGCAAGAGGAGGGAGCGGATCGTGGATCATACCAGGGCAGGCAGTATGGTGGTCACAGAATCAGAGTGGACATACGGTCACAGACACAGGCACGATGGTGGAAATACACAGATGGGCGTAATGGGCAGACAAACGGGCAGAGGTGGAGAAGGTTTCTTAATCGCAGGTATGGAGGGAGGTTAGCCTCGACACTGGTCACATGTGGGCTGCGAAAGCAATTATACGCTATCCCAGCTATCATTTTGAGTGGCGCAATTTATGCTGCTTTGGAAACTGCCTTTATAACAAGTTTGCTTTCAGGTGTTGGAAATGAAACAGAAAATGAGTTTTCCTTCATTTTAATTCTCTCATTTTGGATATAATGCTTTTATTAGCTTTATCTGCTCATAGGCTTACTGGTGACACATGCTATGATTAGCTCATAAAGGTCAGTTTACTCAGTGTTCTCTCTTTTTGCAGCTACAGCACACTCACCAAATAAAACATGTATTTAGGGGTGAAATGAGATGAGTGCTAAAAGATTATATATCATTATCGTAGTATCAGCTAGTGCTTATGAAACTGAAGCCCTCCTTGACGGCTCGGGGCCAGGCAGGGCACAGTGATTCTGTTAAAAAAAAAAGGCAGCACATCTTTAATCTTAAGTATGAAGTGTCTTTTGGAATCTTGCGTGCAGCACTACTCAGCCAGCCACTGTTCTGATCAGCACACTGACGACTTGTACTCACCGAATGTCATCCAAACTGACGCTATTTCTGGAACAATATGCACAAGGAGTTAGTGGCTGGGCCGCGTGGCCACGTACACACCACACCCCGCGATAGAAAACATGACAGTCGATCCATGGCTTCAGCTCAGTTACAGCTATACTGCAGTGGTCTAATATAACTTGCATTACAAGAAAATGGGTTGCTTCTATACAGCTTAGTTACAGTTATGTTTATGTGTGACGCAGCTGGCTCATAGCATATCCAGGGACAGGGATTTATGTACGTTTAATAGGGAAACCAGGAAAACTGGACGTGGAAGAAAACACAGAAATTTACTGTGTGTCTAAAATCTTAGTTAACAGTGAATTTGTGTTTGCGCTGTTTTCTGTTTCTATATTTTCTGAAAGTCCACCTGTGCATCATTATGCTAAACTTTTATGCTGTTACACACAAACATAAAGTGAAACCTACCTGCTCATTTTGGAATTTCTGGCAGGGGACTCGGCCCCTCTGAGAAGCTGCCGAAAGTACTGTGGAAAAAAGGTCACGGGAATCAAACAACACATATGGAAAATCTGGTACAGTATGCAAGCTAAACTCAAGGAACATGCCATATCTATTGACCTCTTAATGCCTAAACAATAATAACCACTGATGCCCAGTTTATTTGGGAGCAAGAACAGGGGTGGCAACTAAGTAGAAAATAACCTCGCATTGTTATCCAGAAACTATTCACACAGGGCTATGGCCTGCTCTGAACAATGGCTGAGCTCTGGTCCACCCAGCTGAATTCAATGAAATTGCTTCTGAGGGGTGAAATTCAGCTTGGCAGTTTGGCATAATGCCAGCGCCGGCTCATTGGCCGGTTGCGCGTCTGATATTGATGACAGGGCCGATAGCGGTTGGTAGCTGGGGGGATGGAAAAATGGGTCTGAGTCAACAAATTCCAGTTGAGTTTGAGTTTAAGCATTTTACAGATATAGTTTTGGTACATCTGAGACAATAAAAATACTAAATTTAAGGAATGATCATTCAGTCTCAACTTAAAGACCCATAATTTAGACAGGAAAATGCTTAAATCTGGAAATCAAGCTGGGTGACAATAGGCTTAGTGGTTTCTATTGAGGTGTGGGCGCTAACCTCATCGCTGTGGCAGAACATGGGGGTGAAAACATTCTCCAGAAGAGAGAGGACGTGCTCGTAGGCTTCAAACAAGCACCTCATGGTCTGCAGTTTCACCACCTCCCCATAAGGACCCTCAGCAACTAGGACGTTCAACAAAAACACACAAGCGAGTTAGCATACTACACAGCATGCATACTCATTAAGGCACACCTAGGATGTTTAAGATACTTTAACTTCAATAATGACTCCTGTCACATACTGTTGCGTATTTCTTCCACTATAAAGGGGTCAAAGCGGATTTTGTCAACACTCTCGTCCAAGCAATAGGTCTCGTAGATCTTCTTCACTTCCTTATGAAGCATCATCTTCTCTGAATCCAACAGCTCAGGGCACAGAATCCTGTCGTTGAACTCCTCTGAGAAGTTAAGAGAGTCAGACATCAATACGTCACAGTGATAGGTTAACTCTGCCACCCATGAGTGGTAATTTTTCCTGATAATTTCAGATGGGGTGATGAAAAGCTGTTGACTGACAGAACTGAGTAATTAAGGTAACAACAACGATTAACAACTACTAACAATTTAGAGAAAAAACTGAATACTTGCCAACTGCGAGACAGAATTGGAGGACATGGACAGCGCCTTCTTGCTTTAGGAAGTTCATAAAGCGAAAGAGAAGGTCTTGCTGTTCTCGAATTTCCTTCAACTCCAGCTTTAGCACCTGATACAAAGGCAGGAAAAAATGGATTACCGGTAATATACTCTATAAAGCATTGCCTGCTATATTCCTCCTGCTTCTATTAGGCTTACGCTGTCCCATATACCAGCTACACATTGTCACTAGGTTTTTGCTTAATGCCAGATGGCTTTTGTTTCAAAGACGGCTTGCAGTTGAATTTTTGTAGGTTTTTAATGAATTACTTCACTCTCCTAGATGAAAGCAAACACTTACTGAGGGCTTTTTGCTGCGAGTATCGGAGTACTTTTGTAGGAAAGGAACCAGTGTTGAAGTGGGCTCTGTGGCTTCTTCAGGCTGGAGTGAACAAGTCGGGAAAAATTAAATACACGTTTAAAATTCACAGAAGATACACTCACCCTTCATTCTGTTAGGTATGCCTATGCCAGTTCGGAAGAAGAATCAGAACGGAGAAGAAAGGAGATTTAAGTGGATTTCTATGTGGCATGGTTGCTAGTGCTAATACAGGCTGGGCTGAGTATTTCAGAAACTGCTGATCTACTGGGATTTACTCCACACATCCATCTCAAGAAAATGGTCTGGAAAAGAGAAAATATCCCATGAGCAGCAGTTCTCTACATGAAAATGCCTTGTGGACGTCACAGGTCAGAAGACAGTGGCCAGACTTCTGGCTGCTTTGAGCAGACAGGATAGGAGGGCGACAGTAACTCAAATAACCACTCATTATAACCAGGGTATCCAAAACAGCATCTCTGAATGCACAACATGTTGAACACTGAATCAGATGGGCTACAGCAACAGAGGACCACACAAAGATTCACCAAAATTGGACAACAGGAGATACAAAAGACATTATCTGGTCTGAGTCTGAATTTCTGCTGCGACACTTAAAGGGAAGGGTCAGAATTTAATGTAAAGAGCATGAAAGCATGGATGCATCCTGCCTTATACCAATAACTCAGACAGGTGGTGCTGGTGTAATGGTGTGGGGATATTTTCTTGACACACACTGAGTACTGCTGCTGACCATGTCCATCTTTAATAACCCAGCCAACAAATCTGCTTTATGCCACAAAAATTTGAGTTCAGAAAGCAAAAGATCGACCTGACTTGTTACTAGAAAGGTGAACCAAACAGAGTGACTGATGAGTGTAAATGACAGCCAGTTACAGTCCAGTATATACTTACAGGTGAGTTGTCAATGAATATCAAAATTAAATGATTCGCTGTGTCCTGAATTAAAAAAAAAACCACACAAAAAAGCAGTCAGTAAGTTTCAAACTCAAGTGTAGCGCTGTAAGTAATGTTTTGATTTGTCTTTTATTTGCATTCTCATAATACTGCACATTAGCACTGGTTAAAGGACTATAAAAGAAATATCCTGTTAGACTGGCAAAGACAAAGAGACGTTCAAGGGAAAAAACAGCTTTGGATTTCTATTCTACACTCACAGGATCAGCCAAGTAGTCCATCGAAGGAAGGAAGACAGAACCAGCCAAAACCTCTCTTATCAGGAGTGTAAGAGATCTGAGAGAATGACGAGATACAGAAGCAGGAAGTAAGAGAATGAAGCAATAAAGAATCATGCTGTTGTGACTTAATTGGGTAAATTTATGGTTGCAGTGCATGGGCTTTACTTCCAGAGCAGTCAGTTACCTGCAGTCTGTGGCCTTGGGCGGCAGGATGTAAGGGAACAGTATCTCAGTCAGCTTCCTGAGGTAGAGAAGTTCATCTCTGCGACTGCGAAGAGCCACGTGGAGATCAGGACCATATTCCTCCAGGGCAGCTTGTTGAAGATACTCTATGTTTTTTACTGAAAAGAAACCAAAAAACATTTTTTATGATAAAAGAAATAAAAAACAAACTGCTCTGTGTGATTATATCTGCCATACCCTTCTGCCTTGCTTTGCTAATAATTTCAATGTGCTTCATGGAAACTTTAAGGAGCTTTTTTGTGATGAGAGATGCCACATCCACCTAAGAGAGAGAGACAAGTTTATTTAAAAATGATGAAGACCAGTTTAAAAAGTTTTTTGTCTTTATAGAGTCTAAGTTTCACCTTCTGAGTCCGACGAACCAGCACGGCTGCAAAGAAACGCAAGGTCACTCTCAGCTCGTCGACAAACGCCTCGTCGTCTGTGATGTCTCTGAAAGGAAAAAGAAATCTGTCCCCTCACTTCACAGGACACAACACAGTTTGAACCTCGAAGGAAGGATACAAGAAACTCTTACCTATACCAAGGATATACAAAATTTTCCAGAACAAGCTCTAGAATCTAAAATAAAAACAATAGATTTTATTGTGCCATAATTTGATAGATTAATTTAATGTTTATTTAAGAATAATGACGTGTGTAACAAATATGTCTATTACCTCTGAGAGTGAGGCATCCACTTTAGAAGGAATTTTCAGGTCAAGCCATGGCTGATAGTTTTCCAGTAACAGAGTCGGTCTATAAATATGAACGAAATTTTTTTTTAAAAAGGAATGAAATAGAAAATATTCAGTATCATCAGCAGAGGAAGACAGAAGAATCCAGTCTGGCCACTAGATGGCATTGCTAAATCTCCCATGACCTAATAAGTAGGTAACTCATTGTTGTCAACCCAGTAATGAGGTTATATATATGTATATCATACGTAGTAACACAGTGATATGGACTTGATCACAGATAATCTGTAAACAACATCAGGCATTAAGCATTTATTATGCTAAATATATAACTGCTGCTGAAATAGTTATAAGGTTTCAATAAAACACAAGTCAGCTTCTGTCCAGTCTACGACCGTTGCACAACAGCATAACCACGTCACTCACCTGTGCCTTTTGCACTTGATTTTTCCACAAACAGCACAGCTGTGGCCCAGCGGAAACAGCTCCTGCTGGTACGACTACAAGATAAAGTCAACAGCAAAGATTATGAACTGCTGCTGCTTTTGTGCCTTTTTATTCATCATCATCAATGTATAAGTAAGCAATGGCATGCTTCCAACAAGTGATAGACATTACATATATTTCTATCAGTTGTGGCACTCAGAGTGTGGAGGCTGTATCCTCCTAATTTGTTCAGTTAAAGTCTAACAGACCTTGATTCTTGGTTTAATGGAGACTAAGATGTTAGGCAGCAGAGACTCAGGCCCCAGGGAGCAGTAGAAAGTGACGACTCCAGCCAGGAACGACCAAAACACCATTATAATGTGAATATATCTGTAGTAAAAAGGAGGTGTGAGGTATAAATGAATAAAAACATGGTATGCTATGAAGTGAAATTGAGTGGGCTGCAGGTTTGCCTATGTAGAGTGAACTAGTTACCTGTTCAAAAGCACAGTGGAGAGAAGCAGGACCAGCAGAAGGAAGCAGAACACTGGATATTGTCGACCAAGCTCTCTGAGCCGGTCCACCTTTACCCTGCGTCTTAATTTCTGCAGATAAGCCCGGATGCATCCCATCTTTGTCTGTCAACATCCAGCCTACTGCATATTACTGTAAATAAATAAAGGTCGCATTACGAAGTGGCTGCAGGCTACAAATAAATAAGGGCGTGTAGCAGGAAGCAAGAGCTCCTTACTCAAAGTTACAGTATTTTATTTTATTTTTTTAATCTATCTATTCCGCTTAACATACGTATCAGGTTGCACTGATTTTAACATATCGACTCAAGCACTTACTGTAAGTGTACGGCGGACGATATGGGCCATTTTTCACTGTAGTTCAGGCGCGACACCATAATGAATTTGCAAAAACAAAATAAATACATAAGCAGGTTGCCTGTGTGCAGGATGAGCGCAGAGAGCAGAGCCGCGCACAGCTGTGAGCCACAGCAGGATTAGTGGCAGTTACACAGCATCATTCGTGCGTGGACCGTCCTAAAACTCTGATAGGTTGCCGTTTTGGTTAATGGCCGCGGTCCTGTCACGGGCATAGCTGTCCATTGAGGAGCAGCAGCAGCGGCGGTGGTTGGTGCCTCGGTTGTCAGCGCTGGAGACGTGTGATGTCACCTCCGCTGCGCTCCCAGCAGCAGTAGCTGCTACTGGCTCCTGTAGTTTAGCTCTGAGGTAACGGACGTGTCCGCCACATATTCCCCTTGAAATGAAACCCACGCCAAGGTGCCCGGATCAAGGAGACGAGTCCCGGAGCGGAGTAGTGCTCACTGGAGCGGCCATTATTTATATTATTGTCACATTTAACGGACTCGAAGCGAAGCACCATTGATTTGTGTGTGTGGTAAACAGCTTACAGTCGTACTTTGATCGAAGAAACTGCACAAGGGACGATGGGAAAATTGCGTTTTTTAACGTGGACTTAAATTGGGTTAACCGGCAAATAGCCCTCCTACAGTAGCTCCATCACTCGCGATGACCTACTTTCAGTTAACTGACACAAAGGCGTTTAGAGCTTTTAACATCAGGCTGTAGATTACTGTAATAGTAACTATACTAACGCAGTATTGTTACTATTTGACGACTCAATGCAATAAATACCGTTTAATTTATTCAAAGGCACCAATACTGTGCATGTATGCCTGTCCTATGAATCTAATAATATAAGCCTTATAAATCATATACACTACTATACACACACAAAACATACATATATAAAGATGGGGAAAAAAATACACAAACTGTAGCATATTAGATCTTCTCTATTACACACTCCCACTGCGCTCGTCAACCCGTTTAGGAAAATATTTATTCGAAATCTTGCATTTTAACATGAAACTTTAATGCAAATCTTTTTACATGAAATTTAAAATACCAAAATCCAAAATGATCGACTGCCTCCAGTTAATAAAGCCCTTGCACCTCATGAAGGCTTTTGTTTTAATCAAAAGAGTAAGACACAGATAAAAATCAAAAACTTTATTACAAAAATAAGTTACACTCACCTCCATTTTACAGTATAAAACAATTTATTTGCAGGAATGCAAAAAACGTTGTTGGCCACCAACAATAGTTTAAAACTGCTAACATTTTTTTTTCTCAAAAGGTGGTTGTTATGATTTTACTGAGGGAGTTAACTGTATAGAAAACTGGGATTGAAGAGCAGTTTCCTTTATGCTATACCTGGAAGTAGAAATCGTTCACTGCAGTATCCCTTCTACCACTGTGAGACCATGATCCCTCACCAAATCATAGCAGCTAATGTTAGGCACACATGCTCACTGGCTGGGCAATATGGCAAGTCAGTCATCCAATAAGATTAACTCCAGAGATCTTCTACATAGTTGCTGTACTGGGGAGGGATCATTCGAGATTAACACGATCTTATAAGAGGAAGGATTGGATTAGGCTCTTACATTATTCCGATGCTGTCTGAAAATGTGTTGTATTGATATAAAAACAAACCCACTGGAAGAATACAGTGGCACAAAAGGGACACTGCAGGGCTTTATTTTTGTTTGTTTTTTTTATTGTTTTTTTTTAATCAAAGGCAGTTGGATGCCCGTGATCTTGAAGCCTTTACAAAAGTAACATTTTCCGAAAAACTATACAACCAGTAACTACATACTCTGAATAAGCAAGGCAGCTAATTCAGTTCAAAATAAGATAAAAGCAGGGCTTGTTCAGACTCATCATATGAGATTGTTTTGCATGCCCGGTGTGACTGTTTGCAGTCTGCAGAGCTGCAGCTAAAATGACTATATTACATTAAGTACATCGTTTTTGCGCTGCAGCTCTTGTGCATATTTTGTATGAAAACAAGCCCTGCTTTCATCGATATAGTTTCCCTATTTACAGTACAGGCCGGGTAGTTTAGTCCTCTGTACTGAGGTAGTCAACCAACCCTTTAAAGACAAGTTCTGAAAAGAACCACTTTCCTGGAATGCCTGACTTATCCATGCCAGGTGGGTACACCCTAAAACCCTGCAAATGTTCTCTTTCAAACATCCAGATCAAACAATTAAGATTAACATGGATATTCCGACAATAAAAATTCCGATTAGCACAAAAATATACAATAGCATCAAGCTCCTTTGAGCCACTTCAAACCTAAGAACTTAAAAAGTGCAATTTCGTCATTAATTAAAAAAAAAAAAAAAATTAAAATGGCATGTTCAGGGACAGGGAAGGGGTAGATTGTAAGGGCAATTCATAGGTCCCCGTCTAGGAACAGGGACTCAGCAAAGAGGCTGTGGCAAGTATTCAGACTCCTCCAGTCATTTTATAAGGTGGCAGCTTCAAAACAAAAACAAAAAATGAGCCCTTTTCAGACATGCACTACTCTCCAATAATCTGAACATGGTGGCTTCATTTGCATGAGCACCCAGGTCACTTTTCCATGAAAGTTGCATTGGTAAGCTTACTAGGTTGGACCTAGTAACAAGTCTTTAAACACAGCATAAGGTTGAACTGTACACAGTAACATTAACGGATGGGCACACCCAAGATAGACAGTTCATGTTGACGCTCTAAACCAGGGCTGCCCAATCCCAGTCCTCGAGAGCTACTATCCTGCAGCTTTTAGATGCATCCCTACTCCAACACAGCTGAATCAAATGGTTTGATTACCTCTTCAGCATGCCATCGTGTTTGGCAAAGTCCTGATAACGAGCCATTCATTTGATTCGGGTGTGTGGGAACAAGGATGCATCTAAAAGCTGCAGGACGGTAGCTCTCGAGGACCGGGATTGGGCACCCCTGCTCTAAACTGCTCGGCTCACAAAAGAAAGTGTTCAAGAGCAAAACTTGCCCTATGCCCTCTTATCTCTGTTTGGTTTCCAAATATTAAGACATTTCTTCACGATCCATAAGAAATGCATCTCCTACTCTGCATGGAAAACCTTAACAGCGCAGAGAGCGCAAGCGTTCAAAAACGTGGTTACATTTTGAGTTGATGCTGACAGAATTTGTTGCCATAAAGTAACAATTCTTTTGCATGCATTATCGTAGGCATATCTGAATGATGCCATGATGAATATTAATGTAAAAGTGACCCATGTCTGATTGGCAGAATGACACCACTAAAGAGATTATAGTTATGCATTAACCCATGTCTGAAAAGGGCTAAAGTGAGTTAAAATATAGAGGAGGGGAGATGCTTCTTCTGTAAGGCTGGAATATCATTGGACCTTTTTCTCATGCTTGTTGTTTCGACATCCATTGCAGCTTACGGTGTAACCCCACATATCAAGTCAGTATCCACTGTGACAGGTCAGGACCGCCCTCGGCCCCGTTTCCCTGCTGGGCCAATAAGAAAGAAAGATGAAATTAGCACAGGAAACCAATGTTGCACACATTTGCCATAAATCAGACAATTAGACCAGACATCAGACATTCACACCAGTGGTCTTGCCACTTATGTGGGCATCAGCTGGCCTTAAAAATGCTATGAATGACCCTCTCTGCTGGCAAACAAGCTGACTCAAAGATCCCACCAGAAAACTGGAGCCTTAGAATATGGCCAAGTTCATTTGAAGATAATCGCCCTTAACTTTTCACAACTATAGCTGCTTTCATTTTCTATCCATCAGTCGTTTCATTCACGCCACTGCTCTTAACTTTGTGCTTTAATTTCTGACCCAATGTCAGAACACTTGCTTACAGCAAACAGAGCTTAAATGTATTTTTAAATTTGAAAATAAAAAGCACAAAGTAAAAATGTGGAGGTGGGGTGGGTGGTCACACAGGAAAAAGTCATTAACCTCTGATTGTTCCAAGGCCTCCTCGTTGGGAGAAGCCCACTCGACCCCTTGGGGTGATAGCACCACGGCCCCTGGTCTGATTGGCACCACCACGGACTCCTCTTGCTCCTCTTCCTCTCCCAGATGCTTGGAAGTCCTCATAGCCATAGTACGGGTCATCGTAGCCGCCCCGGTAGTTGTGGTAATTATATCCATAGTAATCGTAATAGTCTTCATATCCATAATAATCAGGCGGATAAGAATAACCTCCTCTACCGCCTCGTCCTCTGCCTCTTGTTGGTGGTGGCATGTGGGGGGGACCGTAATAATAGTAATCATCATACCTGAGAGGGGATACAGAGTTCTCATCAGGAAGCCATCATGCCATATAACATAATTTTAAATTTGACAGTTTTGGCTAAAAAGGTTGTTGGATTAATTACACACAACACAAACCTAGTTGCAATTACAAAGTTCTTGCTTACATTTGTGTTTTAGCGGCTTGTCTCTGGGCTTTACGCTCTTTCCTCTTCTGGTCAGGTGGCTTGGCAAAGACAATTTCAATGTGCTCTCCTTCGAGGTCTTTGCCATTAAGATCAGTCAAAGCCTATGACGTGAAATCGAGACAATAGTGAAATACCATTCATACACAAAAATCCCAACGGGTTAAGTACAAACAGTCTGATTCTGAGACAGTTTCCCCTCATACCTTCACAGCACTTTCTCGTTCCTCAAAGTGTATGAAGGCGTAGTCTTTCAACTTCTTCACTCGCTCCAGCTTGCCGTGTTGGCTAAAGGTCTTTTCAAGTATCTCCTCTGTAACAGTGCTCGCCAAGTTTCTCACAAACAGCACCTTGACCTGGGTAGAGAAGCATGTTTTGTTTATTCCCCATGCAGAAATGCAGTGCAAATCCAATCAAATGCACAAGAGGAAAGAGGCTGTGCGTGCAAATACACTCAAGGTTACATTGCTGAGGACTTTTTGTCCTGTGCCTTACCTTGGCCATGACCTCTGGGTCTGGGTCCTCAATGGGATCAGCCCACTCCACTGTGACCAAATTTCCCCAAACTTTGACCTTGCCACTCATTAGTCGGCGCCGGGCCTGAGCTGCCGTCTTGTGATCTTCATACTCAAGGAAGCAAAAACCTCGATTCTTTTTCTTGTCATCTGGCTGGTGGTACAATATGACATCATTTAGACCCTCTGTAGAGAAGAGAAACAGGAGAGAGAAGTGTAGACAAAGAAGCAGTTAAGTCAAATGTTCTATGGAAAGCATAAACCTAAAGCCATAAATGCTTGATTCAAAACATGAAATGATCAAAATTAGAGAAATAAAATTTGAAAAACGACGTTTTCTGCAGTTTGTGTCCAGTCAGATCTTAGCGGTAAACCATCAGAGTAATGTGAATCACTCAAGTACAGTCATAAGATCATCATTTGGACCAAAAGAAAAGTTTTAAAAATACCTACTGGACAAGCTACACCTGCAAATGTGCAAGGTGTATCCAATCAAATATACAAGCAAAGCGAAACCCATTCCAAGATGGTTAATGGATGGGAAAGGTTAAAAAACAGTTTGACTCACCTGTTACTTTCGCAAATTCTTCAACAATCTGCTCTTTCGTTTTACTCTTGGGGATGGAGCCAACAAACAGTCTATTATTGGCCACAGAGATGCACACTCCAATGTGTTTTCCTGGTCGAATTTCATTGTTGTTGCACTGCAAAAAGACGCACGAGTATAAGAGGAAAAAATATATAAATAAAAGGAGACAGTCAAGTCTAGTTAGGAGAGCTTATTGCAACTGGTGGTGATGCTTTAAGATAATTATTCGCCATTGACAAACATGAGGCACATGCATGCTGCATAAATATATTCCTTTATTCTTCATTTGAAAAGTCCCCTTTGTTAAAACAAAGCCATAGAATAACTCATTTTCTGGTCATAATTAGAGTATTACAGTAGACCTACCAATTTGACAGCCTGCTGTGCAGCTTCTTTAGTGCAGAAAGTGACAAAGGCATAGCCTCTGTTCAGGCCACTTAGGGGATCCATCATCAGGCGCAAGTCCCATATGGGCCCAGCTTTCTCAAACAGTGGAACCAGTTCATCCTCAAAAAGATCTCTGGGGATTTTTCCTACAAAAATCTGCCAGGTTGACAGGAAAAGGAGGTGCAGCGCGTGAGATCAAAGTACTCATTTAAGATGCGTGGTACAAACATTACAGTACTAACATTGTGGTAAATGGTATCCAGTCAGGTCTTAGCGGTAAACTATCAGTGTAACCAAAGTTACTACAGCAGTGAATAGTTTCATCATTTGGACACCATAAAATAAATTACTGCACCTCATACAATTAATCTCAGAACACACTAATATATAAAGGTGCAGCATATTAAATGGCTAAATAAAGGGATAAGTGATTGTTTCATACCTCTGTACCAATGGTGGGTTGTGCCCCTGAATGGGCAGACTCTGGTGGGGGACCACCGTACTTCCTCTGTCCTGTTGTCACATCAAGTGTGTAGCCAGTCCTCTCCAGCAAAGCCTAACAATTAAAAAAAAATAAGGGAAAAAAGAAAAAGAGGTGGAGCCGAGACAGAATTATTGCATTTTTTGGGCCCAAAAAACATTCATTATTCAATAGTGTCGAACGAAGCATGAAATCAGTTTTAGAGTGATTTTTAAATGAACCATCAGTTCTCACTTTGATTTTGGCTTCATCTGGTCCTTTGTTGGTGTCTGACACTTTGGTCCCTTGTTTCTCTCTCTGTCTGTACGTCTTCATCACGCCACAAAGAAAGGCACTTTTGTTCTGAAAGACAAACAATTTAAATGGGATCAAACAGTAACTAAAAAAATTATCAATTTCACTGTCAAATATTAATATATGAAATTTACCCTTCAATATATATGAGCAGGCAGAAGGAACAGGAAGCTTAATGACAATTAAGACCTATAGTGTAGTTGCACATTTCAACATAATACTGTTATTTCATTACACTAGCACTCTGATTGTGGCTTTGCATTGAGGTATTCAAAATTATGTAAATAGCACCAGCAGCAGCACCGCATGCATACCTGAACATGTGAGAGGTCGCTGTCCTTGAATTGCAAAAGGACTTGGAGAGCACCTTCCTCGTTGAATTCTTTCAGAGCCTCAATCGCTCGATCATCTAAATCACTGTGTGACACCAAACCTGCAGGTTGAACGACACACACACACACACACACACACACAAATAGTGAGCTACTAATAAGGGGGAAAAAATTACAAAAATGATACATAATTGACAAAAGTGCAAGGACCTAAATGAAGTATTTAAACGGGGATTCTTTTGTGAAACCAATATAATGAATGAATAATGACTTGTACAATTAGGAGTGAGGAGTGGGACGAGCATAATCTAATAGAGCCGTATTCAGTAGTCGGGCTGTACTTTACTCCTCAACCAGCAAATTTTTGCAGAACTAATCACAACAGATGTGACAGTGCAACTCGATATGCTCATGCCCCTCTATACTGTGGCTGGGAGTTTCTAATGAGCCAGTCTACATTCTCCTTTATGGAGAGGCCGTCACCTGTCCCAGGCAGCCATATACCAGACAGCTGCTGCCATTGTTTCTGCCTCAGTTCCATCTGGCTGAAAAGGCCAGACCAGTACTTTTTCTAGATGTGGCCAACCAAACAAGTCCTAAAATGACCCCCCCAAAATTTGTCATTACAGTTCATCCCCATTTGATCTTCTACTAAAAATCAACAGTTATTTAAGCTGTAGCTAGTGTCCCATTTAGTCACTGCTCTGCTATAATTTTATGGGATGCAGAGAAACCTCACAGAAATTAATAGCAATACTGAATAGGCTCATCAAAAGACTCCCAGAGAGAGAGAGGGAGAGAATTCATTCGCCCTGACACCAGTGATCATGCAACCATGTTGGGAATGCAAATGCTGCAATCATTTACACACTCTGGTAATGTGTAATTTAAAATTCTGTAGCACTGCAGTACCCATTTTGGTAGGAAACCACAAAAAGTTGCTTCGGGATCCCAATTCCCCCATTCAAAAATGTGATAAAATGACAATACATGCAAGAAATTGCTAAACATAAAAATTTGCATACTGAATATGCAAGAGTATTCATGGTGCCTTACCTGCTAGGTAAATTTCATCTAGTTTTTCAGCAACTTTCTGTGGTAAACCAGCTTCTAATAAAGTCTGGAAGTGCTCAGAATGGGTAACTGCAGAGGTGTCCATTGGTTCTTCTGGACCATTTCCATTAATATGTTCTGTGGCCATGTCTCCAGAAATCTGTGTAAATGCAATGAGCCAAATTAATCCTGGGTCAAGGGCAACAATTGTGATGTGCTCAAAAGAGTGTGAAGTCTCAGACTTGTCAGGAAAATCATTTGGGGGAAAAAAATCACTTCACCAATTGTAATGTTTGCTGGAGTGCAACTTTCATACTAATAAAACCCAATTTTAACAAAGGAGATGCTGACATGTGCCGAACCAATTATCATGGTCATGTGCTCCTTCCCAGTCTGGAGACTTTTCACTATCTTGACTTAGCACTCTGCTTGAACTAGAAGCTCAAAAGCCTGATATAGGCAGTGTGACACTGTGTGCAATACATTGGGTTCAGGACAAGCACATACCAAAGACTTCACCAAAGAATTCACCTCAGCTGCATATTACATATGTATAATAAAAAAAAAGAAGGGGGGAAAGGTTTAACTACGAGGTTCGTGGCCATGTGGCAGTATTTTCATTCTGGTTTGTTCTGAGCTAAAAAAGAAAAGAAAAAAAAGTTGAGCAAACGGAGCCAAGTTTACGCGCTAACGCCCGAATCTCAGTCTTCTCCTGCCTGCTACGGTCTCTAAATTACATGTTAGCTTACCTTCTCACTACTGACTTCAGCACAGGACAGATAGCTGATACACGTGTTCCATCAGAGAGAGTGAACCCCGGTTTCCGGTGACTGACCAATGAACAACTATGCATACTTTAGCATTTTGTTTATACCTTCAACTATTGTTACACTGAACACAAACGCTCTAATAATCGTGTTAATGACCAACCCAAACACTGCCTCTCATTCCTTTGTGTGGATAGATTTTGGGGTACTAACAGCAGCAATCTACCTGCTCACTGGTCACAATGTCTATCCGGCAACGGCAGACTCAGCGAAAACGTGGACGGCAATCTTATGTTTTGGCCTAACATTAACAGAAGCTCGTATTGTCCAGTCGATGTGCTATACTGACTGCTAATCAATCTCGTATCGGTAGGCACGTGCTTTCTCCGTGGCAAAAACCTTTCTACTACGCCAAATGCACGAGTGAAACCCATTTACAAATAGATCTTAAATTTTTAACCTATTCACGTTATCGGTTTTATGGAAATGAATTACCCCCGCAGTCTCCCCTCAAACTTCTACCATAATGTTAGGTTTGGGTTAGGTTTAGCGGGGAGGGACCGACTCGCACACGTTGAAGCTAACTAGCGAGCGGGCTAGTTTGCATGGCTAATGTTACAGCAATCAAGCTAGGGGCATTAATCGGGACAATAACATGAGGCGCTTGTGTGCATTTACTATGAACACAGCTATAGTTATTCTTTAAGTATGCAATACACACATGTGTTAGTAAAGTACTAAGGGATGATCGCCACTTCTTACCAATATAACCGGCCTTTGCCAGCTAAGTGCTGATAGCATACAATGACAATGAGCATGTCATTTTCGTGATCTGTCAAAATGGGTTAGCCTATGCTAGCATGCTAATTCGAACGGAATTTCAGTGAGGCCATTGTTACAACGTCATTTGTCGATGAGGACTTAGCCAATTGACAAAGCATAGCTTTTTAAATACAATTAGATCCAACGTGGCCTTGGAAGCTAGAGGATTAGCCTGCTAAATGCGTGGTCTGTCAACGTGCCGCCACATAGGAAGAGTCCATTTTCAAAAAGCCGGTCTGGAGAACTCGTTCCCAACCACCACCAGTTTCCACATTGTTTGAAACAGCACCGCACGATTCACACTTTTTTAGCACTCAATTAAGCAACAATAACGTTATCAATTACAAGCATTCGCCCTACCTGCCGCTGGCACACCAACGTGTATGGTGCTGATTATTTAGGAAGATAAATGTGATACTGAAAAAGAGAGAAAAGTGTAAAACTCCCGGCACTGGTCCGGCTTCAGTCATTCACTCTTGATGATGTAAAATGGCTGCCACGTTCACGCCTCGAGTTTTGTCTCGTCGATGGGGTTTCTTGGACATCCCTGCACGGGCTTGCCTTGTATGCATTTTACAGTAGAGCAGCAGGTCATCTGCAGCATCCGTCATAACTCCAAAAGAGCAGTCGTTTCACCGCGTCGGAATCGTTTATTGATGGTGCAAGTGAACAAAAAAACAAAAGGGTGGCACAAACAGACATCAAATTTAAACACGAAAGTAAATCACGAAACAAGGAATTACACAAATTAAACATATGTGTTGTTTTTAGACTACTTAACTAATAATGTACTGTCAACCCAGTGATAATAGCATTAATAATGAGTGTAAAATGACGGTGAAATCTGGTAAGTATGTCCCACTTTTCACCACACTGTGTCAGTCTTCTCGTAGATATAGCACTTGCCCATTTCGTAAACACAATAAAGAGACTGTGTAGGCTAGTTGAGATCCAACGTATATATACCGAAACAATATGACTATATGTTGCAAAAAAAACAAAACAAAACTGTGAGTTATGAGGCTGCACTCTTCTTTATCAATGCAAAGTTGCATCGTAATATTTACTGAGCAGTAATGCGCATAAAAGTGACAAAACGACATATGTAAAAAGAGGAAAAGTCACAGATCAAAGTTGATAGCCTATATAAACTCATACTAAAGCCTTTACTAATAAAGCACTACTCTTGCGTGCATTGGTGTTGCAGAAAAATCAAGTTCGGCACTGTTTTACTTATAAATTTAGGATTCTGCTAACACATAATTTACCATTATGATCCGAAAGGCATTTATTTCAGTGTTGAGCTTTAATATAACTTAAGTAATTAACTTCTGACGCACAGAGCGTTTATGAGGCTGGAACACTTCAAGGTTGAAGAAATAAAAGTTTGTGGCTGCACAAAAAAAAGCATTTTCTGTCATGGGTTGTGAAGTGAAGGACCCAAATACAGAAATTAAGTCCAAAAATGTGTTTATTGGGTTGTAAGTCAAGGTAAAGTCCACATTGGTAAAAAGCGCAGAACTCAAAATCCATGAGAACTTACACGGATAATATAACAAAGTCTTGGACTATCTGTTCAGTACACCTTGGGGAAACACCTCAGGGAATCAGACACAGTTGTAGACAATTAAGACAAAGCAAGACACAAAAAAAACCCCATACCGCCGATAATTACTAAGCACATCTCTGTTCAGAAAAGCGCAGTCTCAGGAACGGCAAAGATACTGCGCAAGACCCTCAAGCTCCCAGGCCTCCGGTAGGACCCGAGGTTGAAGGATACAGACCGCCCGCAGGGACGAGAGAGGGGATACAGTCCTAAAAACCTATAGATAGGCTACCTTAGCATTTTTGCAATATGCGCAGTTTTTATTTCGCATACTGCAATCGATGTACCCCAGAGAAGTCAACAGGTTAGGTTTATGTCCACTTTGAATTTGTGGAATAGTAAAAAGCTCACTACTAATGCCCAAAACAGGTTACAAATGTAGTTTAAAGCATAATTCAAAAACTGTTGTTTCAAGAGCTACACACACAAAGAGCTCATCAATAAGTCAGACAAACAAAACTGAGCTATAATTTTTTTTTATTTTGGCATTAAAAAATGTGTAGATGTCTAAAGCCAGCAACACAGAGCTGTAACATCCACCCGAAAACCAGTCATGGGAGAACTGGAGACTATTGCCTATGACAAAAGTTTAAAGGTGGAGTACAACCAGAATAGGTCACAGATCCACAGGCCGAACTATAACAGCAACATAACATTTCTCTATAAAGATAAATATCTTAATGACTCCAAGCACTCTGATCAGTAGTAATTAATATGTAATTGATGTAGTGATAGTTTTTATGTTATTGTTGTGGATTATATTTGTTAATATTTTTTTAGTAATACTAATATGCTCAGGCATATTCAAATAGACACAGGCACTAGGGATATTTCTCATGCTGCCATGTGTCTCTTTTAATCTCCCTTCTGAGGAACTCAGCAAAATTTCTGTTCCTTGCAGTTTTGTGAATCTCCTGTTCTAACACATCCCTAACCGACTGACTTGAGTAGATGCACAGTAGCATCAAAAGGGATCTTTGTACCTAAAAGTGTAACTGAAAGTCCCCTACGAACATCAATTAACAGCACACAGAAAGAGGAATGTAATTTTTTGGCCCCCCATCATTCTCACTCACAGGGGATCAGAAACACATTTCTGTGTTGGATGCTATTGATGGATGCTCAATCATCCAGGTAAGGAAATCCCAGAAAGTTGATTCTGGAGTCCGAGGAATGAGAAATAATATTTGATCTGATATTTCTTGCATGCTGGAGCTCATTTTCATGTTTTCATATATAAAATAAAGGAAAAACTTGAACTATTGAGTGGATCTAGTGGCTCTGTTATGCTGTGGTGGACATTTTTGCTGTAATGGTTTGTATCCACTTGTCCCCACAGTGGAAAGGTTCCCTAGAAATGATTCCAAACTTGATTTGAGTGATCACTTCTATCCTGTTACGAAGCATTTCAATTCTAATCAGAGTAATCTTTTCCAGGATGTCAATATCCCCATTCGAAAAAGCTAAATGATGCTAATAGTCTTAACCCAATGAATTGAAAATGTAAGATTGTGCTACGACCACTGTGTCCAATCAGCTTTACTTCATGTTATACAACACATTTTCCAGTCTGTGCTTGGTTAGTTCAAGATTTAATAGAAATTTGTTATCACTAAATATTGCAGTTACCTTGGTAACTAAGAATACATCATATCTCTTCTACATCCTTATCAACAGTTGTTCTTTTGCCTCTCTTCACTACCACAGCAGATTTTAAATCAAACAACAATGTTATAGCAGACTTCTGAACAAGGGGTTTTTGTTTGTTAAATTTAGCATTAAATATATAGAAATGGCAGCCATTTTTATCCATCTTCTTCAATTTTTTTTTAAATTAACTGACAAGTTGTTTCATAGGCAAATCGATTCCCTTATTATTTCATGACAAACAAAGCAGACATAATAACTGGAGTTTATTCAAAGTGTTGAATTTGTACTTTATAGCTTACATGTGAGATAAAAAAAAAAGAAGAAAAAAAATGATTTACATATAAGAAATGCACTGGCCAGTTTCACAACAACAAAGTTCTGAAAGACCATATGTCCTGAAAAACACAAGTGATGATGACAGTTATTTCAATGGTTGAGAAAAGCCGCTTCTTCTACATCATCAACATCTAACCAACTAAAGAGTATTCTCATGGCACGTAACTATGTATACTACAACTTTTGATCCTTGTCCTCATTTTGACAGTGGAATGAGATGATTGTGGACAAGGTAGTAGTTTGAGGCTTTCAAGTGAATCTGCAGAAATGTAACATAATACTTGAGTATAAAAAGCAGAAGACTGTGAAACAGATTAGTGAGAAAGATGAGTGTTTCTATCACTGACTGTTGTTTTCAGTGAACTTTCAGTTAAATCCCTTTAATATGTAGCACCCCTCCTCTGAACTGTCAGTTACTGTAAACATCTCATAACATCTCCACTTCCTTTGACATACTTATTCAGCTCGGCTTCATTACACGAACTCACTCATCAGTGATGATTTGAAGCAGTTATTTTAGACACTGCTGCAAATAGCCAAATATGGTGTTACGTAAGTAACCCAGAAAAAAGCATGAAAGGGTAAAAAATAAATAAATAAATGAATAAAAGCAGTCAAAGAGATGTAGTATTATTCTTTTTTTATGGTTAAAATTAACAGTTTCAATGAAAGGCCTTCTCAGATAGCAGCGCTAATGTGGCCATTATATTTTGATTTGATTGAAATTGGATTTGCCTTCCAGCTATGCAAAGCAACAGCACACAGTCAAATACTTTTTAGCATAATTACTTTATTATGAATGTTAGATTTATAACGCAGTTACATTTCATGCTACAACGACTGATCTGGCATATGGCAAAAAAAAATAATCTCTTAACATTTCGGACCACTGAACATCTTGTCTTCTACACTTAAGCCAAGGATTTATCACCAGCACAACCAAGGACACGAGGGATGGGTTCTTATGTAAACACACAACCAAAATCCAAAATATATTCATATTCATCCTTGACATTTTAGATGTTAGAGGTGGAGACATGGATCCCCCCTAACAACCATCAAACACCAGCTCATTAATTCATAGCTTCTTTTATCTAAATTAATTCTAATCCTTTCTTTAAAAAAAAAATGTTTCTCTACTGAGAAACAGATGAAATCTTTTTAGGTTTATTTCTGTAATGCCTGTTTAAAAGTTCACAATAGGAAGTGAGTGAGTTTTACAGAGGAAGACATGCATTATTTTTAGAAGTGCTGAAAATGTACATGAAAATTGATGTCTGCCTGTGAAATAAGATGTATTGGAGTTAGTTTAACACAGCATAAGGTGAAAAGAGGAAGACAAAAATGCTCGACTGAACTATTTCACATCTTACATCTCAGTTTTTACAGAAAGCCACAGTGTTAAAATGAGTCAAAGTGCTGTGAAAAAAGTATTTCCTGCTTTCTTTTTTTTTCTTTGTATATTTCTCACGCTTACATGTTTCTGAACATCGGATACATTTTTACAAATCTGAATATTAGTCAAAGATAACCTAAATACAAAATGCAGTCTTTAAAACATAATATCGTGTATTAGGGTAAATGAATGGTCTTTGTCTAATGTCAACATTCCTTTGATGATCTTGTGAGTGTGAGGGGACAACGAGTTTTTAACAGCTCTATATATGCTCTAAAAAAAGGTACATACAGTATTGATGTAATGTTATAAGCTAACCAGATGCTTTCTTGTCAGTAATCCAGTATGAATTTTTCATGTGAGATCATACTTGAAGAGATGGAATAAGTTCTAACTAGTGCCAAAGTATTAAATTAATGGCATAAAATAGGACTGATTTCTGCTAATAACACTGTATGGACTGATAACATCTGACGCGGGTCTTAGTGATGACTGTTTGTGCAACCATTTTTGACTTAGTATTTTGGAGTTACATTTAGTGAGTCAAATGACTTTAAACTCTAGCAGTAAACAAGTACCCATAATGAGAGCACTTGATGCAAAATGAAAAACATCCTGTTTTACAGTTAAACATCCACACATGTGGATTTTTTTTTATCACCGCAAACAAAACCATTGACTCGTTCAATGTAAAAGCAAAATCGTGGCTCAAAGAAAGGTAAATCAGAGACCACCGGAGCAGGTCTTTTGTTGTTCTCAGCTGCTGTTCTTAGACGTTTGCATCTATTCGTGTTAGTCCCCGTGGAACCGAGAGCGGTCAAGAAAAGGCAGCAACATTTAGTTTGATGACATCACTTTAACAAATTGTGTATTTCAGCATCGGCCCTTTTTACACACCTCAGAATTCTAAAAAGTCACGAAAACAGTTTTATGCACATTAGCTATAAAAATGACCTTTGTCCACTAAACCGAAATGCCTAAGATAAATCTCTAATTAATTCCCCCCTTTTTGCTCACCCCTCAGTTACCTAGTAACAAAAATCCGGGGATTAAATGTAACCACCGTCGTCAGAATGGAAGGATGATAATGAAGTATGTTTTGAGTTTCCACTGGGTCACAGAGATCATTGATAAGGTTGGTAAGCTTCACTTAATCCAGGAAATTGCTAGGAAAATGTGTGGGCTATATAATGGGATGGATTAGACTAGAAGTTCTCACTGCAAGTAAGTTCTGTACAGAGGCACAGTGAAGGGGACACTTTCTCTCAACATGGTAATACTCTGTCTCTATACTTATGCTTTAACTTTATAGTTCTTTATTTGCATTTACCACTTTCTCTGTATTTGTTTCTATATTTTTAGATAATTGCTACAACCGCCATGGGCTCACTGAAGTCACCTGGACTGTCCCTTCTGCTGTTGTCTTTTCTTCTTTACATAGCTGATTCCTATCCCAACATTGACTTATCAAACAGTAAGAATTGTTTATGATGTAAATACTATTTTAAGTTCATCCAGTGTTTTATAATTGGACTGGAAATTAAATGTAAATGATCTGAGTCTTATGAAAGTCACAATGTTCTGTTCTAAATTTCTTATCACAGAGATTGTGTTTTTAATCTCAGTGTTCAAATGCTGGCACAATATTGCAAACCGTGCAGTTTGAGTTTTTTTAGCAATGGTTCCCTTTTCTAAACCACCCTCTCTAGTGGGCTGTGAAGAATGCACGTTGAGAAAGAACAATCTTTTCTCAAAGGAACGTCTGGTTTACCAGTGCATGGGCTGCTGCTTCTCCAGAGCGTACCCGACACCTCTCAGAGCCATGAAGACAATGAATATCCCAAAAAACATCACCTCAGAGGCGACGTGCTGCGTCGCAAGGCACAGCCACGAGGTAGAGGCACAAACACATGACAATGTCAGGCAGATATTTAACTTTTCTATGAATTTGTGACTTTTTAGCTAATTTATGTTGGTGTCAGTAAGATTTTAGCAAAACAAATCTTGGAGTTGGATGCTATCGAATAGTTAGGATGAGTATTACATGTAAGCACTTTTTCTGAGTGAATGATTGTGTTATTCATTTCTTTTTATTTTAGGGGATCTTATATAACTTTTAAAGGGTTATTATTATTATTATTATTATTATTATTATTATTATTATTATTATTATTATTATTATTATTGGAAAAAATGCACATAAGCTTCTCATATGGTTTTTATTTCAGTTTAAAACACTACTACAGACTATAGAGCAAAATAGCATGACAGAACGGTTTAGTGTTATGCCATTTTTGTGTTAATATTCACCCTTTTCCCCCCTCCTTAATCATCTGTTCCGTTTGCAGATCCCGATAGCTGGCATTTTGGTGAAAAACCACACAGACTGCCATTGCAGCACCTGTTACTTTCATAAGATATGACAGATGGGGACTGGGGACCACTCTGCATCCTTCGGCTTGGCAACATGTTGTGTTTCTTTTAATACGCACACGCTTTACTCTGTTTTAAAATGCATGTGTTTGTGTTTCCAGAATATATTTCACAGTAATTCTGTGGCTGTGATGTTTCTTTAACCTACGTTTTTTTTTTTTGCCTTATTTGTATTTGAAAAATTGTGGATTTGAAAAACGATTAAAATGTGCAACAAGAGCTTGGATTAAGGAATGAGTCTTATTTTTAAATCCATGCAGAATGATTTGTTACAAGGAGGTTTTCATGAGTGTTTCTTTGGAGAAAAGTGCATTCTTACACAAACTGCACCTCACTAAAAAGTGAGAACACTGAGACACTCTAATGTCAGTAAGCCGACAGAATAGAACATTTTCAGGAACTAACAGCCAAAATGTGCTTTAATGGCAAATAAATTATAGAAATATAGCTGAATTTTAAGTCAGCGTAGGAAAGATAGAAGTCATTAGAGTGATGATTTAACCACTTCAGTTTGATGACACTTGGATGAGCTCAGACACCTAATAAAGATGTCATTTTTAATACTAAACGTTCAATTAAAGAGAGCTATTAGGATGGGTGGTGATGTAGCGTAACTTCATCTTTAACGTTTGTTGAGAGAAATGAAAAACCTTTAATGTGAAGGGTTTTCTAACATATCAACCTATCTGATATATTTTTTCAAATCTTTTATGGCATTATGATAAAACACAAACATAATGAAAACACTTCATTCTTTGCTTAGGTTAACATGTTACAGTTACATCAGTGGTTTTTGTATTTTTCTTTTCTGGCTTGCCCCTCATTCAAAGCCCCTCATCCCACACCCAACACCTTTTCACCAATAAAAAAAGAATTCATGCTGAATTTCCCAGAAATAAAGGTGTGTATCATCTGCTCAGTAGCATCAGAAATCTCTTTCTTCTTTATTTATTATAAAAGAAAAAAAAACATACGCATCCACTTTAGCTTCTTTTCATCTTGCTCTCCTAGTTGACTGAACTGGCTCCAGCTTGATAACCACTGAGTAGCATGTTTCCTGCTGGTCCAGGTAACAAACTAGAGCACCAAGTCTGTTCGTTAATGTTAGAAAGGTTTATTCTGATGTGCTGCTCTGAGCACGGGTGCAGGTAGAAGAGTTCAATTTGAATTCAAATGCTCATTTGGTGTAACATGAATTGTAAATTTATGAAATATACCCTGGTATCCTTTTTTCCCTCGGGCTGCACAGATGTACCTCGAGTATTAATCTGATTTACCTCTAACATCTGGCCTGCTGGAGTGACTCTGAGCATGCGACACTGAATCGGGCCTTTTTCTGCAGCAGACCCAGGGGCACATTCTCAGGATTCATACCTGGAAGATACATAAGGTTTGCGTGGGGACACTGGGAGTAGACTAAAATCATTTTGCACACAGATTTGTGTTATTTTAGGAGATGGCTGGTTCACGCCTCGATGTCACAGCCTGCCTGCGGTATCTTTTTATGTCTTGTACCCTACTATGCAGTGTTGATGGTAACCCACATCAATCACTCTGGGGTTACCGCGTCAGCATATATGTGACCCACAGCTCGTGTGCACAGTGTGATTTTATGCGTAAGGTTGTGGATGCTTTGTTGACATCGGGGTTATGTTGAGCTTATAACAGTACACGCTCCCCTCCCCCTGCGTGCGCGTGCGTGTGCAAGTCTGTCAGCGTAACATCTGTGCGTACGCGGTCGTGATTGTTGTGAAGATGGCGGAGGGGGAGACAGAGAAGGAATATGATACACGGAAAGCTATCGAGGAGCTCAGAGAGCGGTTCCAAGCGTTGACCACAGCTTTGAAAGAAAGTTCTCAGCCCCCGTTGGAAGCCTCCTTGCATTTCTGCCAGGAGTTTTGCCAGGTTAGCTCGTTATCCTGCTGCTCATCCCGGGCTGCCTGCAGCCCCTCTGGTTTCCTGGCCGAGGATGCGCGTCTACGTTTGCTATAACAATGTAGCTAAGGGGTTAGCAGCCTAGCTAGCTCCCTGGCATTTCAAGATGGGGAAAAAACCTCCTCAGTGTTTTCCCCCAGGTTTACCAGTGATGTTCGTATGCGGCATGCACTTATTTGCAAAGTCTGACCATCCACGCGGCGAGAAGCCACGCCATCGCGTGCCCGCGCTGCATTAATTACACGTATTTTCCAGGCCAGATAGCTAATAGCAAATGAATGTTGCTAGCTGGTATGCAGGGTCCCCCTGTCTGTGCAGTGGTCATGCTGTGCAAAAACGGATAGCTGTGTTAGCGAGATTTTCCTGAGCGGTTGCATTCATGTGCACCGCTATTTATACTTGTTAAAGGTAATAAAACACAGTGTAAGCGCTGCAAGACTGCACCCATGCTTGTGGGGATTTTAGCTTGGTGTGTATTTAGGTTACTTTTTGTGAAGCTGTTTTTTTTTTTTTTTTGTACGGAAAGGGCAGTGATTTTTCCCCCAGTGTGCTAGCCCGGGCCTTTTGCACTAATTAATCCAGCTAACCACATCAGCGCATATGTTTATTACAACGCTTTTATCTATGCCAGCACGAGATGTTCAACTGATGTCATTGTAAAAGCAACCGATTAGCCTGCAGCTGGCTGAGCAGTGATTTGAAGGAGAAAGTGTTCTAGTGGTCACCGACTCCAGTATCCGTCTCATTAATTAGCCATGACCACATAGATGCACATTATGCGATTTCTCCATTTTCCTGCGACACAACGTAGATTATTTTCATGGCACCAAATTGGTGTGAGATTTTAAATTTGACCCAGTGCATCTCTAACCGGCTCTGAAGAATTCATTCAACTTAAAAGTTATGTGAGAGGGAAAAAAGGGAGAGTCTGGGACTGAATGCACTTTTAGTCGGGGCAGGAATGTATTTAAAAGCGTGTAGCTGCGGGGATAATACACTCACTGAGCATGATAAGCGTTTTTATGCGAGCGGTGTGTTAAAGAAATAAAGTTTTATGGATTAAATTTAGGTTTTAGATTTGCTGAATTTGTATAAAAAAGGATAAAAAAAACAACTTTTTTTTGCACACACTAGATTATTTTTAATGGCTTAGGATACTACTCCTTAACTTAAATGTGTAATAAGTATGTCATGGTATTAAACATAACATTTAATATTGATTGTCCTGATGGCATGGCTTTTTGGCTTATTAAAGTTAGCTGTCTCTTAAATGTAAGCGATAATCAGAAATCTGTAGCTTAATTTACACTGATAGCAGCAAGTTTTACATCATTAAAAGCGGTTCCCGTAAAGAGGAATGAGCAAATTTTGTCTCAACGTTCTTACTGGGTTCCCAACATATTTCTTTACCAGTAAAGCCACATTTCTCTGGCTTTTTCATCTTTATTAGATAGTCTTTCAGTGAAGAGGAGTCACAAAAGCAGGAAGTTAAAAATTGATACTGTGGTTATTATATCCATCACCCGAGAGTTTCAGATTGACATAAAAATGTAGAAAAGAAGAAAATCTTTAAAGTCGAGAAGCCTAAAACAGATAATATTCCGCACAACTTTTTGACTATTTGTGCACAGAAGCTAAAATGTAACACTTGTAAGTTGTCATTCAGTGCCCTATTTTAACTGAAGTCTTTGTTTTCTTTTCTAAGGTCTTGGTGGAACATGCCAGTCGTTGGAAAACGGATGAAGATCCACTGCCCTTGCTGGAGGTTTACACCGTGGCCATCCTCTGCTTTGCTAAGGCTGCCTCCTGTCTCTCCTCCGAATGTGAAAATGTGCCACTCCTACTTGAAAAGTTGTCACTGTGAGTAGAAAATGAATTCAGTGTCAGTGCAAATGTGTGATAGATATTAATAACATAAACACAAGAGTGCATTAAGTCCAAAGATTAAAGTGGTGATGAGTAGTTCTAGTTCTACTGGTTTGTTTTAAGAGAGAATTTAATCCCTTTGGGCATTTGGAAAGAGGAATAATATGTGACAGTAAAAATAAACAAAACACACCCAAATCTCAGAGGAAACTTACATGAAAAGTTTTCAAATACTCTATAAACAGTCTACAGGAGCCACTTAGCTATTTGCAGGGTGTGCTCTTATAAAAACAAAGTCCTTGAGGCTGTAATGCAGAGTGGAAGTGGAGGGGATCTCTCAGGGAGCCACAGATTTGGGATGATTTACAGAGGAGGATGCAACGTGTACGCAAAATGAAGTCAGAGACAATAGTTATCAACACCAAGAATGTACATTAGTTCTTAGTCATAAAATGTATTTGAATAATCCAGAACACATCATTATGCCTCTGGAGTGAACAGACGTACCGATGTGTCGAAATCACGCTACCGATTTACGATGATCAAGCAGCAAGACAAAGCTTCCCTTTCAACTTGTGTCTAAAGTTTGGATTTCAAACTATACACCAGTTTTTAATCCTAACAGTACAGCTTTACTGGATTTTATTGACAGTCTGATGCATATAAGTCCCACACCATAAAAATAGATTGAAGCCAGCAAAATAACCATGCCTATGTTGTCTATGTTGTGAACACATCTTACTATGAGTAACACAGAAGCTTTTTAGATATTCTATGATGTGGTAATGATACCATTAAAGTACGTAAAATAATAAATATAAAAGAAAAGATATTCTGAATCACATTTAGTGTTATATTTTCATCATCTCAATAGCTATTTGGGATATAGGCCTGCAATGGCTGTTGCAGGCAAGCAGCAAAGGATTGATGGATGGTTGGATATACTGATGTTTTATCATGCATTCACTGAATCTGTCTTGGTCCTACCTTATTTTAGGTGAATTAGTATATAATTCACCCTAAAGTGATTTCCAACTACTCTCACAATAAGAGATAATACATTTTGGTTTCTCTAAACAACAATGATTTCACAATTACCCTTCCAACAAACCCAAAAGTGACTAGACACCAGTGTTTACAAGTGGCATCTCAAATAAGATGGGATAATACTGTATGACAGCAGGAAACATCTAGATAACTGAAATGTTAGCAAATAAAAACAAACACTGGTATCAGAATGGAAATATATCAAAATTGGACCATATATTATGCCCATAAAGGACATTACAAAAATGCAATTCACTACTGTCTCTAATAATGAAAAAAATAGTTTGAGTTGATGATATGGAGCTAAACAAAAAAATGAACTGCAGCAAATGTTTTAAAACTCAATATATACACCCGTGAGTCAAATGAGT